ATACATTGTATCCAGTGTGTTACTATATCCTATACATTGTATCCAGTGTGTTACTGTATCCTGTACATTGTATCCAATGTGTTACTGTATCCTGTACAATGCTATGTTACAAGGATGTCACTGTTTTAGTGGAAGCTTCTTCTAAGCCCTGAGTCACTAGAATTCACTTCAGGTGAGGGTGGATCCCTCTCTACTGATTTGGGAAACCTAAATGAAACAAAAAATAAGGAACCCGTCCCAACAGCTCTGAGCCCCCAGTTAGGATAGTTCCTCCCATCTAGCTGGAGGTTGGGCTCTTTGCTTTATTTTACATTCTATTTGTCTCTAGCTTACCCCAAACTTTTTGTGGTTGGGATCACATTCAGGTTACTGGAAACTTTGGGGGAAAGAAGTGAGCAGGATGTAGAGGGTCTATTGAGAGGCAGGCCAGTGATGGGAAGTTGAGGCCAGAGCCAGCTTTTCTCTGCCAGGATTTCCCTCAGGTGCCTCTGAGGAGATGGCACAATGTCTGAGGCAACCCTGGGTCTTCTTCTCCTCTCTCTCTTCACGCAGACATAGGCCAGCTCTACTTTCTCTCTTCATTGGTCGCTCCTCGATGGCAGGTTCTTTCCTGCCCAGCTCTGGATGTGGGCACTCCTTCCTCTCGGCTGCCAGACCCTCAACATCCATCCTGAACTAGCTCCAAGGTGTTGTGTAAGCTCCTCAGGCTGTGAGCCCAGCCCTGACCCAATGAGAACAGACTCCCTGACCCACCTGACTGAAATGTCTTTGATTGATTCAAGATGGAGCCCAAGCCCCATTCACTGCTCATTTTGATTGGCTGAAATAATCCAGAAGGGTTCTTCCCTAGCAAAGGCCATGACTTTTAAGGAGGCGTCATTGACACCCCACCCCTCACTCATGCTGAGTGGGCTTTGTGGTACAACATCCCCCCTTCTCACTCACCTCTCACCTCTAACCCCTTCTCTTCACTCACTAATCGATAATAATGATAATAATAAACAGCTTGCATTTTCATAGCACCTACTATGTGCCAGGTGCTTACAAGTATCATCTTATTTGATTCTGACAATAACCCTGGGATGTAGGTACTGTTATTATCCCCATTTTACAGATGAGGAAACAGAGGCAGACAGAAGTTACATGACTTTCCCGGGGTCCCACAGCTAGGAAGTGTCTGAGGCTGGCTTTGAACTCAGATCTTCCTGACTCCAGGCTCAGTGTTCTGTGTACTGTGGTGCCCTGCCATAGCCCCACATCTATCACCCTAGTCCAGGCCTATCATTTCTCACCCAGGAAAGGATTGGCTCTCAAGACTGGTCCCCCTGCCTCTAGTCCTCACTCCTCCAAGTCACCTTCAGCTGCCAAGGTGATTTTCCTTCAGATCAGATCTTCCCCCTTACTTGATCTTGTCCTGCCAAGCCTCAGTCTGAAATGACTCCTGCCTTCTTCTGTTTGCTGCTTCTCAGTAAACTGGTCTGACAGACTGCTATAAGATTATGTTACATTATCTCCCCCAGGGCTCTCACTGCAGCAAGGCAGTATTTGCACACACACACACACACACACACACATACACACACACACACACAACACACACACACACACACACACACACACACACACACACACGCAGCCCATTCACTGGAAGCTCCCCCTTCTCCCCTCTCTCCTCTTCCTCCCCTGTCTCACATGATGAAGGAGCCTCACTCCCTACCAAGGCCAACCTCTCTCCACACAAGTGATCCCCTTTCATCTTGTCTCCTCTAACAGATCTCCCCCTCTGTCAGCCCCACTGTCTCCTTCTCTTCTAGCTCCTTCCCTACAGCCTACACACATGCCCAACTCTCCTCCTCCTGATAAAATTCCCTCCTGGCTCTTTCTGTCTCTCTTAACTGTCATCCTATATTTTGCCTGCCCTTTGTGGCTAACCTCCTCTACACTAGGCCCTTCCACTGTCTCTCCTCTCCCTCTGCTTAACCCTTACAGTCTGGCTTCTGACCTTTTTGTTCCACAGAAACTTCTCTCTAGAGTTACCAGAGATCTCTTAATCACCAAATCCAATGGCCTTTTTTCAATCCTCATTCTTCTCCACCTGCCTGCAGCCTTGGCCATTATTGGTCATTCTTTCCTCTGGAATACTCTCTTGGTTTTCAGGACACCATCTCTCCCCTCCCCCTCCCACCCCAGTTCTCCTCCTTTTCTGATCATTCTTCCTCTGTCTCCTTTGCTGGATCCTCCCCCAGACCACACCCCACAACCATGAGTGTCCCTCAGACTCTGTCCTGGGCCCTCTGCTCTTCTCCCTCTATAGTAACTCACTCAGTGATCTCCCCAGCTCCCATGGATTATCTCTGGGTTGATGATTCTCAAGTCTACTTTTCTTGCCCCAGTCTCTCTGCTGACCTCCAATCTCTCATCTCCAACTTATTTTCAGACACTGGGTGTCCAGTAGACACCTTAAACTCAACATGTCCCAAACTGAACTCATTATCTTTTTTTTTTAAACTTTTCCTCTTCCTGACTCCCCTATTTCTGTCAAGGTCAGACATTGAAGATGACATGGTCACCCACTGCATCCCAGGCCATCGATGGCCGTCCTTCCTGCCACTGGACTTTGATGACTCTGGAAGAGAGAGTGAGGCTGATGACTTTGTGCAGCTTGGCCTCACTTCAAGCCAATTCACCTGTGATGTCAATGATCCTCTTTTAAAATGAAAAATGGACAACAACAACATTTCTGCCAAAGGTAGTGCCATTCTCTCAGTCACCGAGACTCACAACCATGAGTCAAAGGGGCATCCTTGACTCCTCCCCCTTCCCCCCCCAAATCTACACCAATCCTGCCACGTAAACTTTCCTAACATCTCTTCTCTATGCCCCTTTCTCTCTGCTCACATTGTGGGACCTGGGTGCAGGCCTTCATCTCTCCATATCTGGACTCCTGCTACAGCTGCTGGGAGGTCTGCCTGCCTCAGTCTCTCCCCACTCCAGCCCATCCTCTGCTTGGCTGCCACAGTGAGAGGAAAGGTCTGACCATGCTGTGGTCCCCTCAGTCTACTTCAGGAGCTCCCTCCTGCTTTCACAACCAAATATCAAACCCTCCACTTGGCATTCAGAGCCCCCTCCCACCTTTCCAGGCTCCTCACCATCCCCCTTTCCATGTACTCTCTGGTCCAGTGACACTGGCCTTCTGGCTGTTTCATCACTGGACCCAGAAGAGAAAGTGAAGCTGGTGACCTTGCCCAGCCCTCCCTCACTTAAATCCAATTCATTTGCAAGTCATGGCATCACCTTCTTGATGTCATGGTCCTCTTCGAGAATGAAGGACAAACCACAGCTCAACACAGTGCCGGTGCATAGTAGGTGCTTAACAGATGCTTCTTGATTGACTGAGAACATAAATGTTATCACTGGAATGGCTACTAGCCCTCTTCACACCTTTGGGGGGTGTCACAAGAAGATTCCCTCCAGGAACACGGAGATAACCTTTGTTTGCTCTGATCAGATAATATCGGAGAAAGAAGTGGACCAACCAGGGCCTGAGATAACAAGAAGGGACTGAGCCTTGCAAGCCAACAAACCAAAGTGCCACTGAGGCTCCAAGGATGGCTGTTGTCATTCTTGGAGCCAATTCTCCCAGAGACTTTCTAAAGACCAAGTTACCTTCTCCTAAGCACAGGGCAGTGGCAGTCAGAGGTCATAGGACCCTGACAGGGTTTATTCTTTACAAGGAATGGAGTAGAGTAGAAGGCTAGAAGGACCCCTCCTTTGCCTCTGGAGACCTATCTGGTCTGATGATGTTTTTGTCCAGTTCTCTCTCCTTCCTCAAACCCTCTGTAGGGAAAGCAGCAATCACAAGGCAGCCAGCCACAGGTTTGAGGCTCTGGATCTAGATCTCTGTGCTGTCTAGACTATGCAGGCCCAGAGTCTTAGGGTTCTTGAGATGGACCCACCTTCTCAATCATGACTGAGTAAATCCCCATCTGCTGAAAGCCTCGGGTATAGTAAAGCATGTTGGTCCAGCCTATCGCCAGAGAGAACACCATGGAGGCCACATATTCCTTGCAACGGCTGAAGTATAGTGCAACGGAGATCAGGAGAAACACGGACTGGACAAAACTGAGAGACAAAAGACACAGGACAGCAAAGACTTCAGGGGGAGCAAGGACTCAGGCCCCTGTCTGGAGTGTCTCCCACCGCCAGCTGAGGTGACTTCTACTTTGAGATCCTCCTGACCCTATCCAAAGCACATAACTGGCCTGGATGGACCCTGCAGAACATTCAGGGGCATCCTTGCCATGGTCTTAGGAGCTCCAGCACAAGATTTGGGAAACTGCTGGTCCTTCCCTCCCCCCAACCCCCCCCATATCTCCTAGAGTGAGCCCAGGAACCTTGTACAGATACAATGTAAACATGCACCACTTGCACATTGCCTTCTACGTGGGCCTTCACAATGGCTGGGGGTGGTAAAGACGGAGCTGTGCCACAAAAAAAAAAAACTACACAGGCAGAAAACCCGAGTTCAAATCCAGGCTCAGCCACCAACTAGCTTATGATCTTGGGAGTATCATTTCCTTGATCTGTGCCTCAGTTTCCTCATTTGTAAAAAGAAGAGCTTGGACACTGTACCATGACTGTAAAGGTCTCATCCTTTCTGTCAAGCAGAAAGTTACCTGTGCTTTCAGTTGAAAATGCCACTATTTTAATTGGCTCTGTGCAGGGCTGGTCATGCTCATGGGGAATGCAGGCAGGGGCTTGTGTGTCCAAACATAACACATCCGTATCTAACATTTTATCACAAGGTCACAGCATCTTTTCAGCTCCAGCCGGATCCTGTGTCTAACCAGCAAGCTCCCTGAGGTCAGGGACCATGGATAGCATTGTTTCGACCCCAGAGCATCACAGACCCGCAGAATGCCAGAGCTGGAAGACTCTCATTTTGCGCCTTAGCCTGGGCCTGCTGCCCCCAGCCTAGGTCAGGACCACTGATGCCTGCTGCTTCCTAAGGCCCCTGAGAAGAGACACTGTCCGCTTGCCCTCCTGCTTGGGGGATCTCAGCCTGGGAGGCCCCTGCAGGCTGTGTCTGCTCCTCACTCTGGAGGTGGCCAGTGGAGGGGCTTAGCACGCAGTCTGTGAGCGGCCTTCCTTCGCCCGCGTGAGCTCAGAACTGAGGGTGCTCCTCCATCGGCAGGGTGAGTGGGAACCTCCCCCCAGCCCTGCCAGGAGTGATGTCTCAGGACAGATAGGATGTGATCGCAGAGGTCAGCCCAAGATGCTGCCAGGCCTGGAGAAGGCAATCACACAGCTCAGAAGGAGCAGGGCTTGTGTTTGAACTTGGGTCATCTGATCAGATCTGGGTCACCTCCCCCCACCCACACCACCATGCTTGAAAGATGCTGGCAGAGGTAGGGGTCCGTCAGGGATGGCTGGCCCCATGGCCTTGGGCCCCCTGGCAGCCACTCCCAGCCCCATCCCTGCCTGGGCCAGAACTCACAAGAGCACCTCGCTGTAGCTGTCCACAAACAGAGTCTTGAGGGAAGGCCTCCGGTGTAGAAAGTACTGAATCTGTGGGGCACAGAGACCAGCAGGTCACCCTCCGTCTACGTCCTCACCTCCATCCTAGCTGCTTCTACTGAGCACATGGTGCAAGGCGCTTTCCTCGGTGGAAGAGAGTCAAGCCACCTGGCCAAGTGTGGTGGCGTGGGGGGTGCCCCCAGACCTCCAGAGCACTGCCCCCTGTCATCCCCCATATCTGACACTAAGGCCTGGGACACTCCCCCTCACCTCACCTTCTTGCCTTCCCAGCTTCCTTCCAAACTCAGCTTAAACCCCACCTTCTGCCAGAACCCTAACTCTGCCCTCCCCCTGCTCCTCTCTCACCATGGCTAGCGCTTTCCTCCTGGGATTTCCTTTACATGTGGTCACCCCCATTGGACTGGGAGCTCCCAGTGGGCGGGGCCTGTCTTTGACCTTTCTCTGTATCCAAAGCACTTGGCACAGTGCCTGGCTCATAGGCACTGCCTGTTTACCGACTGCCTGACTCAGTGAGCACCCACTCCACTTCCAGCCCCCTCACTTCACAGCTGAAGGGACCGAGGCTGAGAAGAAGAAATGCCAATGTCCGATGCCACCCACGTGTTCTGAGCCCACCACTGGGCAGTTGCAGGCACAGGGCCCTTGGCTTTCAGATATGCTCAGCGGGCAGGAGATAATACTGACCCCTCGGAAAAAGAAATAGATTCCCCCTAGAACCGAGAGCAGCTCTCCTGTGACTCGGAAATAGGCGCCAGTGGTATAGTCAAATGTAAAAGGAGGCTGTAAGACAAGAGGGGGAGGAGGCATCAGTGGGGCCAGTGGGGTAGGGGGGGGCAGGGGAGGGCCAGGCCAGGACTCCCTTCATGGACAATCCCCCCAAAAAACAGCAGGAGCAGTGAGCACCAGGATTGAAGGCCAGGACCCCGTGGGGAGCAGCCTGGCTGATGGCCCCCCAGACCGCCATCCCCAGGTGGGCCCAGACATACCAAGCCACCCACAGGCCGGTGGTAGGCAGCACATGTGAAGACTACCATGTACACGGAATAGACAAAGAAATTGAAATAGAAGATGCGTTTCACAAATCGGTCCCACTTGTCCTGCAGTAGACGGTTCAGGGGCTCTACCAGCAGCATGTCGTGGCGGTTCTGAGAGAGCAGAGAAGGGGGCAGGTGGTGTCACCCAGGCTGCCCCTCCCCAACTTCCCTGGTTCCGGCCACTATCACCATCATCGAGTCAGTCCCAGAGCAGAGAATTGGGGATGGAAGAGAGCTTAAGGCACCTGGGCCGACTTCTCTGTTGACACTTGAGGAAACTGAGGCCCAGGGTGTGGAGGGGAACTGCTCAAGGTCACACGGGTAACCAAGTTGGGACTGGAATGTAGGGCCTCAAAGGTCATACTCAGCTCTTTCTCCTCCCCCCACTATAGGGAAAGCAGGCACCAGGTAGAACCCTGGTTCATCCCCAGTGACCCCCAGGGACAGGGTCACCAGGGGAGCGGAGTAGCCAAGGACAGATCACAGATAGCTTTGAATTTGGGCACATACACACACACACACACACACACACACACACACACTCGTGCACACGCATGCAGACACACATGCAGACATACACATGCATGCATGCACACACACACCCCCTACTCTCCATCTGAGCCTCAGTTTCCTTCTCTATAAAATAGAACATTGGACAAGATTCAGTTCATTTTAACAGGAGTTGAGTAAGTGCCTGCTGTGTCTGTGGCTGTGTCTATACCTGTCTGTAGCTGTAGCTGCATCTGTATCTAAATCTATACCCATCCCTGTATCTATGTCTACATCTATGTTTATTTCTATACCCATACCTATGCCTCTATCTGTATCTGTTTCTGTAACTGTGCCTATATCCATTTCTATACCAATATCCACACCTGTGCCTCTATCTGTATCTGTATCTGTGTCTATATCTATTTCTATACCAATATTCACACCTGTGCCTGTAGCCTGAATCCATACCTATGCTTCTATCTGTATTTGTATCTGTATCTGTGTCTGTGTCTATTTCTATACCAATATCCACACCTGTGCCT